TGAGACTGCCGCTAGCTATGAAACCACCCTTGGCTATTAGCCATGTTATGATGCTACTTACAAGATCTCCACACGGCTCCGCCCACACCCCAGACCCCAACAGTGCGGTTGTGTGTGGTTACGGGGGGAGCTTGTCTTTTGGGATCATACACAGGATTCAGGTGTCAGGGGAGTCCAGTCAGCACTGTGCTCTTAAACGACTTTGGAAAAAGCCATTATCGAGGCTGCATGTGCAGGGTGTTGGCGGGGCAGCGTGTGGTTTGCGAGACGTCAATCACTGTCCAGTTACAGCGTAGTTTTATTTCGGTCTCTCTGGAGCCCGCAGTGGAATCCAGGGCCTCCTGCAGAGGGACCTGTGCTCTCCCAAGCCACACGTGAGCCGTCATCTCTGAATTCCTCTAAGCTCTCACCCGGCTCCGCTCTTCATGCCCCTGTTCTCCCTAGTTCGTCTCTATGTTAACTCGTCCCACTCTGCAGAAGCCCGTGCTCCTTCTCAAACGTGTACGTCTCCTCTCCCTCTCACCTAAGCTTGGGGCCAGAGTGATAGTACAGCGGGCAGAGCGACTGCCTGGCATGCGGTTACCCCAGATTCAGTCTCTGGCATCCCATAGGGTCTCCTGAGCACCACCAAGAGTAATTCCTGACTGCAGAGCCAGGAGTAAGCCTTAAACGCCTCTGGGTATGGCCAATCCCCTGATCCCCCAAACAAACAAACCTTTCCAAGTTTCATTCAATAAAAATTATCTCGCTTCGGGGCTGGAGCGATAGCGTAGTGGGTAGGGCATTTCCCTTGCACACGCAGACCCAGGTTGATTCCCAGCATCCCATATGGTCCCCCGAGCACCACCAGGAATAATTCCTGACTGCAGAGCCAGGAGAAACCCCTGCGCAATTCCAGGTATGACTCAAAGAGCAAATTAAATAAATACATAAATAAATAAAGGATTGTCTTGCTTCACAAAAAAGGGGTGTGTGTGGAGGGGGGGAGGATGCAGTTCTAACAAGGTCACGAGATAATCTGGGAGGGCAAAGGGAGCCGCCCACTCTGGCCTTGGCACCTGGCAACCGCTGAGAGGTAAGGAGAGGCCCAGCTTGCCCTGGGCAGATACTGCTAATGCCCCCGGCCAAGGACTCCCGTGAGCCCCAGGGTTACGCCCCTCTGGGGGTGAAGTCTGAGCTGCCCCTAGAGGACTCCTTCAGGGTGGGAGGGTCCCCAAGAACCCAGCCTCAGGCTGGGACGCTGCATTCTCCCTTCTTCTTCTTTTTTTTTTTTTTTTTTTTGCTTTTTGGGTCACACTCAGCGATGCACAGGGGTTACTCCTGGCTCATGCACTCAGGAATTACTCCTGGCGGTGCTCGGGGGACCATATGGGATGCTGGGAATCGAACCTGGGTCGGCCATGTTGGCTGCGCGCAAGGCAAACGCCCTCCCCGCTGTGCTATCGCTCCAGCCCCTGCATCATTCTCCCTTCTGGAAGGCTTTTTCCGCCATGAAACATTGATCTATTCATTTGCATACCTGCCTTGCATGTGGCCAACCTACATTCGATCCCCAGCACCCACAGGCTTCCCCAAGGACCCGAGAGATAATACAGTGGACACAGTACTTGCCTTGCACATGGCCGACCTGAGTGTGACCCCTGGCATTGCCTCTGGTGCCCCTCGGCCCCACACCCGCTGGGCGTGATTCACAAACAAAAAGATGAGCTTAATTTCTTAGCATAAGACACTCTTCACCTTTAAACTTATTCTTTTGTGATTTACTTATTTTTGTCACTTTGGGTCACACCCGGTGATGCTCGGGGTTACTTCTGGCTCTGTACTCGGGAGTTACTCCTGACAGTGCTCAGGGGACCCTATGGGGTATCAGGGATTGAACCCGGGTCGGTCGCGTGCAAGGCAAACACCCTCCCCACTGTGCTAGAGTTCCCACCCCTAAACTTATTTTTAGGGACTGGAAATAGTACAGAGGGTCCCCTGCCTTGCCTATGTCCCCTGAGCCCCACCAGAAGTGATTCCTGAACATGTCCGGGTCCAAAACCCAAACCAATCCAATATACCCAGATGCAGGGATCACAGCTAGTCCTCCAGCGGGGTGCGAACCGTATCTTACGGCCCCTCTATCTGGAGGACACTGAGGCTGTGGCCAGGTAAGTCGGGGCAGGGGGCAGAGAGGGGACCCCGCTGCATGGGCAGCCTTGCACGCTGGTGCTGTGCTAAGCGACAGGTTCCTAGAAATAGGATTACTTGGGTCAGCGGAGTCAGGTAAAAACCAACGCACAGATCCTCCCCCCACCATATGTGCTTGTGCCCCCCCACCCACACACACAGAGTTTTGCCAATAGGTTTGTGAGCAACTGCCAGTTTAGGTGTTCCATATTACACCAGTCTTCTGCCCGACGACTTTCCCCCCAAACAGGAGAAAATGTTCCCTCACTGTCTTGCGTTGTTTGGACATGGATGGCTCTTTCTTTCCCAAAGAGACACACCAGGTGCTTTCACTGTTTTGCAGGGAGTTTCCTCTGTCCATTTATCAGGGAAATTGCAGGGCTTTTTTTTTTGAGGGGGGCCACAACCTGTGCTGTGCGGGGGCTTCCCCTGGCTCTGTGTCCCTGGAATTCCCCTGGTGATGCCAAGGCTGAAATGGGGTCAGCGACGTGCTGGGCTGTACATGTCAGAGCCTGAAACCCCAAGTGAATGAACTTCCTTAGGGAAAAAAGACTGCCACCTTTTTTTTTTTTTTTTTGCTTTTTGGGTCACACCCAGAGATGCACAAGGCTTACTCCTGGTTCACACACTCAGGAATTATTCCTGGCGGTGCTCAGGGAACCATGTGGGATGCCGGGAATCGAACCCAGGTTGGCTACGTGCAAGGCAAACACCCTGCCCGCTGTGCTATCGCTCCAGCCCGAGACTGCCACCTTCTGCGCCATCACACTGTCCCACGCCTGTCACCGCTGAAGGGTGTGATTTTCAGAAGCCTGCACCTGGTGAGATTTCTCATGTTGGCCGGCCCCTCAGCCGACACGCCAAAGAAAGATGGAGAGTGCGTGGACCAGGGGGTCAGGGCAACGGAGAAGGGCCAGGCTGTGGCCGCCACCTCCCAGGCCTCAGGCCAGCCAGCACAGGAAATTCCCAAGGTTAGTTCTCCAGCTGGAACTTGGGGATCCTCTTATTTCTTCTAAAAACCGCGTCCCCATCAACAGAGGAACGGTTCTCTTCGTTTGCTGACCAAAAGGGAGGCCTTTCCCTAGCATCACAGAGAGCACCCCAAGAAGTGACCAGAAAGCATCCCAACTCAGGCTAGCTAAAAGGCTAGAAAACTTGTCTTTTCCTCTTTTTTTCTTTTGCTTTTGGGCCACTTCTGGTGGAGCTCGGGCCTTACTCCAGGCTCTGCACTCAGCAATCACTCCTGGCAGGACGTAGGGGGTTGTAAGGGCTGTCAGGAATTGAATATGCAAGGCAAGCACCTAACCACTGGGCTATCTCTCCAGCCCGGAAGCTGGTCTTTGCTGCAGGCGCTGCGCCAGTTTCTCTTTATCTGGACAAGTACATTGACTCAGGAGCCTGGGAGAACTCAGGGACAGCGCCTGCCTGGCCAGTGTGTGGCCGGTGAGGCTGCACCTTGGGTCCTTGACATCACCCCACCTGCCTTTGTGTAACCCTCACCCCCAGGCCCCAACTCAAGTCCCTAATAAATCACAACCACAACTAACAGGTGCTAGTTCCCTGCGACATCACAACAAGAACCACACCTAACCAGGGCAGGGCCAGGATGCAGAGAAAAAAAAAAATTCAGTGACTCAATATTTGGCCTTTAAGAGGAAGGAGGAGAGAGGAGAGACTCCTGCAGGACTGACCCATGATGGCTCCTTCTCGGGAGCCCGGGAACTCGCTGTCCACACGGCCCGGGGTCTAACTGCCCACCAAGGGCCTCAGACTTGGAAGCAGAAGTCGCGGTGGGTGCCTGCCTGCAATGCTGTTTAAATGGCTCCTTACAAACCTGGACAGCTGAGAAGCGGGTCAAAGAGTCTGCCAGGGACCAGCTGGCCACCATACAGCCACCGTGGAACCTAGAGGTCAAGTCGCTTTTGCAGGTTGGTGACCTCACCGCTGCGACACCCCAGTGAACTGCTCCAGAGTGCTGACGTCACCAGGGCCTTGGAAAGCGCCCGAGTGTTCCGCAGACTGGACCTATAATTAGGGCGTCTTTGGGCACTTAACTATGGGGGGGGGGTGTGGAAGAGAAGGAGAAAAGAAGCGAGGAAACCAGTCCCCGGGGCTGGCACAGGCCCAGAATCTCAACATTTGAGCCAGAGCAATAAAACAGCCAGGAGGGTGTTTATCTTGCACGCACGCCGCGGCTGATCCGGTTCGATCCCTGACATCCCACATGGGCCCCGAGCACCACCGGGGGTAATCCCTGAGCACAGAGCCAGGAGTAAACCTCCCAAACAAAAGCAAACAAACAAACGAAAAGATTCTCAACATTCAGCCCCTGCTCCAGGCTCGCTAGGGAGATACTTAAAGGCCAGGCCAGGGCCTGGGTTTGCTCTGCTCTGGGCAGGGGTTCGCTGGCAGCTCTGCTGCCGACCTCGACCTCAGGTAGAACAGAAGTCACAAGACACTTGGGACCTCGATTCTAGGGAAACCCCAAAGGAACAGAAAGATGACGCTGGCTGTGACCTTCACAGATGCAGCCCTTGGGAAGGGTGGACGGCCTGGCGGGTGCCACACCCACCCACCGAGCAAGCACGGCTGGGGGCTGCCCGCTATGCAGCCTGTCCACCACCAGACCCAGAGCCAGGACACCAAGCAGAACCCGGCCTGGACCTCCAGGGAGAGGAGACCGAGGCACCCACCGCCTTGCCCCGTGCAAAGGGGTGAGCCCCGGGGCTAGTGCCCTGGAGGCAAGCCGGCCTCGAGGGGCTGCCTGGGGGGAGATGCAGGCGCCTGAAGGCCAGGCTGGCCGGCGGGACACAGGAGCCCGCGCCACCCACCTGATGGCGTGGAAGGCCCAGAAGAGGCGGTCGGCCCGGGGCCCCCGCGCGGCGCGGACGATGCTCAGGTACAGGTAGAGCGCGATGGCCACGGTCCAGAAGAAGGAGCTGGTGTTGGCGAAGGTGGACAGCGCGCCCTGCAGCACGCAGTCCCACGAGGGCCCCGCGAAGTCGCGCAGCGCCCCGTAGAAGTAGGAGGCGGCCGACAGCAGGTCGGCCAGCGACAGGAAGAGCAGCAGGCGCCGCGCCCGGCTGCGCAGCTCGGGCCACAGGGCGTGCGTGGCCACCAGCAGGCCCGAGCCCAGCGCGGACAGCGCGCACGACAGCAGCACCACCACGCGCTCCGACGGCATCACCTCGGTGGGCGGCGCGGGCGGCGGCATGGCTGGCGGCGGGGGGCGGCGGGCGCCGGGCAGCGGGCAAGGGGCGCCGCGGGGACCGAGCTCGGGCCGCGCGTGCGGCCACAGCCGCCGCCGCCGTCTGGGCTCCAGCCCGCCCGCGCCCCGCGTCCCGCGCCCTCGCGCCCGCCCCGCCCGCGCCGCGCCTCGGGCCGCGCCCCGCCCCCGGACAGGCCACGCCCCCGCGGCCTCCCGCCCCGCCCCTTGGCCCCAGACCCGCCAACCCCGGCGCCCCGCTCCGGACCTGGCCACGCCCCCGGCATCCTGCCCCGCCTCTTGGCCCCGCGGCCAGTCCGGCCCCGGCGCCCCGCCCCCGCCGAGACCACGCCCCCGAGGCCTCCCGCCCCGCCCCTTGGCCCCAGACCCGTAGGAGCCCCGGCGCCCCGCTCCGGACCTGGCCACGCCCCCTGTCTTCCTGCCCCGCCTCTTGGCCCCGCGGCCCGTCGGAGCCCCGGCGCCCCGCCCCCGCCAAGGCCACGCCCCCGAGGCCTCCCGCCCCGCCCCTCGGCCCCAGACCCGTCGAAGACCCGGAGACCCGCCCTGAACCTGGCCACACCCCCCGCCATCATGCCCCGACTCTTGACCCCAGACTCGTCCGACCCCGGTGCCCGCTCCAGACCTGGCCACGCCCCCCATCATCCTGCCCCGCCTCTTGGCCCCGCGGCCCGTCGGAGCCCCGGCGCCCCGCCCCCGCCAAGGCCACGCCCCCGAGGCCTCTCGCCCCGCCCCTTGACCCCAGACCAGTCGGAGTCCCGGAGCCCCGCCCCTGCCCTGGCCACGCCCTCGCGTCATCACGCCCCGCTCCTAAGCTCAAGCCACGCCCCAGTCCTGGCGCCCCTCAGTCCCCTTATCCCTGGTGCTCGGCTCCGTGCTCCGCCCCTGAGTCCTGAGCCCCACCCCTGGGCCTTGCCACCTCCTCGTCGTGTCCCTGCACCCTCCACGCCCCCTGCTTGGCCCTCCCCTGCCCTCGCGTCCCGGGGTCGCGTGCCCTGCATGAGCCACGCCCCTGGCCCTTCCAGCTCCGGCCCGTGGCCCCAGGGTCCAGCGCTGAGTCCCTCCCACGCAGGGCTACTGCCAGCTGGCCGGGACGTCCCGTCCTGGGCAGGGAGGGACTGGCATTTTCAGGACTAATGTCACGGCCGTGTCTTAGCCTGTGCTCGGGTGTGGGGGTGGCGGCGTTTCTTGCAAAGGCCACGAGAACAGCTCCCGAGTGTCACCCTAGTGCGTGGGCCTGTTGCCCGAAGTGTCACCGTGGAGGGGCTGCCTAGCCAAGGCCCCGTCTCCAACGAAGGCAGCACATACTGTTTTTCCCACATCAGCCTATTAGGGGTGAGCTGGGAGAAGAAAATTCCCGTTCCCGACTTTCAAAGTTTCGTTTCACACACCTTCGGGTGGGCCCTGCGAAGTGCACAACTCAGCTAGCTTTTGCAACCGTCGTCTCTGTCATCACTAAAATGTTTCCTTCACCCCACCCCACACCCGTGAGCGCACACTTCCCCTTTCTCGCTGGTGGCCCCCAGTCATCAACCTTCCAACCTGGATCTGTGGCCTCAGGGCTGTTCGCTGAGATAGAGCCAGACCACACTGTGTAGTTCCAGGATTTACCCCCGCTGGGAGGAAGCTTGTGTTCTCTGGCTTTTTGCACCAAAGGCTCCTCTGGTCGGCCGCCGTGACCCTTTGCTTGGCCATTTGTCTGCTGATGGACCTTTGCGACTATAAATAATTTACCTGTTTCCCCCCTGGCTTGCTCTGCTTTTTCCCACCCAGGAAACCACCACTCCAACCAAACTCACGAAGATTTGACTTCTTCCTGGCCAGCATGCTGCTGATATGACGTCTGCTCCTCTGCGGTGATGTTTTTTTCCATGTCTGCTGCCCAAGACCGGCCTGGAGCAGGGTTCGAAAGGAGGAAGTGTGAGTGTGAGTCCCCAGACATTGCTCTTTCTCTGTGATATTTTTTTTTGACTGTTTGAGGATCAACTTGTTTTGTTTGTTTGCTTATTTTGGGGGGCCTCAGAGCTTTCTCCTGGCTCTGTGCTCAGGGATCATTCATGGTAGTGCTTGGGAGACTAACCATTTGGGAATCGAAGCCAGGTTGGCCATGTGCAAGGCAAGCACTCTACCTCTGGCTCTAAGGATCAGGGTTTTTTTTTGTTTTGTTTTATTTTGTTTTAATTTCTGCAGTAAGATACTGGGGCTTTTACTGAATCTGTAGATGAATTGAGTGAATAATGATACTTCATAGTTGAAGTAATGATATATGAATTGAATGAATAATAATACTTCATAGTATTTTCTGTGCATGCGAGATGTCTTCTTATTTACTTAGATAAAACCCTTGGGCTGGAGCGATAGCCTAGTGATTTGGGCATTTACCTTGCACGTGGCCGGCCCGGTTTCTATTCCTCTGCCCCTCTCGGAGAGCCTGGCAAGCTCCCCGTGGCGTATTCGATATGCCAAACACAGTAACAACAAGTCTCACAATGGAGACGTTACTGGTGCCCGCTCGAGCAAATCGATGAACAATGGGAGGACAGTGCTACAGATAAATCCTTAACTTCTTTCCAGTGGTGCTTTTGTAGTTCTTGCTGAATGTTTGGCCTGGGTTTTGTATCTATAAATGTAAATGCTTTTTGGGGGAGTTGGAGCTATGGTACAGCACATAGGGCACTTGCCGTGCATGAAGCTGACTCAGGTTCAATCCCCGGCATCCCATATGGTCTCCCGAGCACCGCCAGGAGTGATTCCCGAGAACAGAGCCAGGAGAAAACCCTGAGCACCATTGGATGTGGCCCCAAGCAAGCAAACAAACAAGAAAAGTTGATCCTCAAATAGTCGATCCTCCTGAGTGAAAAGCCAGGAGCAGCCCCTGAGCGTAGCCAGGTATGGTTGAAAATAAATAATAAATAAAATAAAAAGTAAGTGTTTTCGCATCATAAAAGGCACAAATTATAGCCATTCATGGTTTTTTTTTTTGGTCATGTAACTTTATGATTATGAGGCTGAAAAGTGCCTGGAACACCACTTTAATATATAACTTGAAAGCAAATACCCATCCCGAGTAAGAAAGAAGGGCTGGAGAAATAGCACAGCAGAAAAGGCACTTGGCTTGCACGTGTGTAACCCAGGTTTGATCCCCAGCACCACACATACGATCCCCAGCACTGTCAGGAGTGATCTCTGAACACAGCACCAGGAGTCAGCCCTGAGCACTGCTGAGTGTGACCCAAAGAAAACAAAAAGTCAGAAATAGAACCTACCAGCACATCAGAAATCCCTTCCCAAGGATCATCTTCCCCATACTCACTTCATGGCATTATTATTATTATTGCTCGAGCAGGCCCAATAACGTCTCCACTGGAGACTTTGTTGTTACTGTGTCTGGCATATCGAATACGTCACGGGGAGCTTGCCAGGCTCTGCCGTGCGGGCGAGATCCTCTCGGTAGCTTGCCGGGCTCTCCGAGAGGGGCGGAGGAATCGAACTCAGGTCGGCCATGTTGGCTGCGTGCAAGGCAAACGCCCTACCGCTGTGCTATCGCTCCATAATTAATAATAATAATTATTAATAATATAATATAATAATATTAATATTATTAAGAATATAATAATTATTATTATAATATTATTATAATATTATTATTATTTTCAAATTAATTTAATTGCCTCTCTATACAAAATAAAATGGTCTGCCTGTAACTGAATGTTTTATACGTGGAATCGCAATATGTTCTTTTGAAGTTTTTTTTTTCTTTTTCAAGGTTCAAGGCTGTTTGTTTTTGCATAGACCTACAGTTTATTCATTTTCATTGCTGCATAGTATTTCCTGGTAGAAACATTTGTACTTTTTACTCTTCTTGGACATTTGCATTGTTTCTGAGTGTTGGTATTACAAGGAATGCTTCCCTGGCATCCGAAAACCTCCAGAACTCAACCGCCGCCATGCTCATGGCAGCTCTCCACACACACACTTGGGCCAAGCCTCACCCATGAGCGAACCACCTCCTGCACCACGTAGCTGCATTTGCGGCCGCGTGATACTTCATTCCACGCACCCTGCCCATACTCCAAGAGTACCGCACCGCACTCGATGGGGTTCACAGTAGGAAGCAACCAGTCTGAGAGGGAAGTATTTCTTTTTTACAGATATATAAAAGCACACAAGTCTCAACCTTTAGCAACACGTTAGTGATCTCTTATAGAAGGGCTTACTGGTCCCTGGGTGAAAATACAACAATCTTCACACTCTTTCCTCCAAGGATTCTTGTTTTGTAGCATTTCCAGTGGTTTTTCGTAACAAATAACACTAAATATCTTATTTTGGTTCTGCTTTGGGGCAGGGATTGGGGTTTGGGATGGAAACATCCGAACTACGGCGGTGGGAAAGTGTAATGGTGGTGGGACTGGTGTTTGAATATTAAATGTAATCAAATATTATAAACTACTTTATAAAATAAATTTTTTTTAAAAAAAGCAATGTTGGGGCTGGAGATATAGAAAGTGGGTAGGGCGTTTGCCTTGCACGCGGCCGACCCGGGTTCGATTCCCAGCATCCCATATGGTCCCCTGAGCACCGCCAGGAGCGATTCCTGAGTGCAGAGCCAGGAGTAACCCCTGTGCACAGCTAGGTGTGACCCAAAAAGAAAAAAAAAATTAAATTAAATTAAAAAATTTTTTTAAAAATTAAAAAAGCAATGTTTGACTGAGTATATACTCTCTTTTCATCATAAAAGTTTGCTGAAAATATCTCTCAGCAGCTGAAGCAAGCACAAACTCCACCCTGCAGAGAGCAGAAGGGAAGCTGCCCCCTGTCCGAGTCACTTCCGAGGCCCCTGCCCCTCCTGCCGGCACCCAGACCCCACCCAGGAGCTGTCAGTGAGGCCTTTCAGATTTCCCCTGAAACAGATGGCTCCGGCCTCAGTTGAAGCAAAGAGCCCTCGCTGGGCAGACCCTGGGGTGGACCCTCTCTGAACTGGGAGGGCTGACAAGAAAGTGCGGCGCCCACCCCCTGGGCCAGTGGCTGACTTTTGGGGGATGAGGTGTGACTTGATTAATTTCCTTGGCAATGAACTC